AAAAAAAAAAAAAAAAAAAAAATGAGACCCACTGTTACTTTTTAATGCAATCTTTTATCCTTTAATCCATTTTTCCACACCACAAAATCATGGATTAATAAACACTTGGATGTTCTAAAACTATTAATCTACTCACATCCCGTCGTTAATTAATTGAGCTAAATCAAAAGGGGACAAAGCAAATTGAGACAACACTAATGATTATGAGCAAAGGGCTTTTTATATATACTGGGAAACCTTAGTAGTGACATGGACTCTAGCATGAAGAGGGGCAAAGGACTATTATGTTGGGTGATTTAGAGCACTCCGAGAGTTGTCGTGATTTTGGGTATTGTAGGCGTATAAAGTTTGAGGAAGCTGAGGGAGCTATGCGTAAGATGAGGAAGGGAAAAGCGACCAGGCATAACGATATCCTGGTAGAATTATGGCAGAGCGCAGGCAAGGCAGCTATAGAGTGACTAACTAGGTTGTTTAATGTCATTTTTAGGAAATCAAAAAAGCCCGAGGAATGGAGGTGGAATACCATGATTCTGTTGTACAAGAACAAGGGTGATATTCAAAATTGTAACAGTTATAGGGGTATCAAGCTGCTTAGCCACACGATGAAAGTTTGGGAGAGGGTGGTGAAGATGAGGATAAGAGGGGGGTGTCGATTTCCGAGAACCAATTGAGATTCATGTCGGGGCGATCTACGACAAAAGCCATCCATCCTGTTAAGAGATTGGCGGAGCAGTACAGAGAGAGGAAGAGGGATCTATATATAGTGTTTATTGACCTAGAGAAAGAATACGATAAAGTCTCGAGGGAGGTTCTATGGAGATGTTTGGATGCTAGAGGTGTACCTGTGGTATATATTAGGGTGATTAAGGACATATATGATCAAGCCAAGAACCGGGTAAGAGCAGTACGAGACTCGGAACACTTCCGAGTTGTGATGAGGTTGCACCAAGGATCAACTCTTAGCCCGTTTTTATTTGCTTTGGTGATAGATGAATTGACGGGACATATCCAGGGAGAGGTGCCATGGTGTATGGTATTTGCAGATGACATAGGGTTGATTAACGAGACACACGGCAGAGTTAACGCTAGGCTAGAAGTTTGGAGATAATTCTTAGAGTCTAAAGGTTTCAGGTTGAGCAGGATCAAGACGGAGTACTTAGAGTGCAAGTTCAATGACGAACCTCATGAGGCGGACGTGGAAGTAAGGATTGGTGCACAAGTCATCCCCAAGAGAGGAAGTTTCAAGTATCTGGGGTCTATAATCCAAAAAAGCGATTTAACGACGATGTCACACAACATATTGGAGAGAGGTGGATGAAACGAAAGCTCGTATGCTGTATTTTATGAGATAAAAAGGTGTTACTAAGACTTAAAGGTAATTTCTATAGAGTTGTTAGACCAGCCATATTGTATGGTACGAAGTGTTGGCCAATCAAAAATTCTCATGCTCAGAAGATGAGAGTAGCGGAAATGAGGATGTTGAGATAGATTTGTGGACATATTAGGAGAGATAAGATTAGGAACGAAGATATTCAGGACAAGATAGGAGCAACTTCTGTGGTTGACAAGATGAGGGAAGCGAGGTTGAGATGGTTCGGATATGTGACGAGGAGATGCATAGATGCCCCAGTGAGCATGTGTGAGAAATTGGCTATTGTGGGTCTAAGGAGAGGTAGAGGTTGGCTGAAAAAGTATTAGGGAGAAGTGATTAGACAGGATATGGCACACCTCCAATTTATTGAGGACATGATATTAGATAGGAGAAAGTGGAGATCGAGGATTAGTGTAGAAAGTTAGTAGGTAGTCGAATTTGGGATTACCGTATATGTTCCGCATTTTTCATATCAAGTGTATGATTATTATCATTATCGTATTCTCTTAACCTTCGATTTTATTACTACATGTTGCTTTCCTTGTTTCAGTTTTCTCGTTACCCTGTTATTTTCTTGTTGCTATTATTCTTGTCTTCATTGTTTTCAACATGGCTTCTTCACTATTGTTTCTCTTTTTCAACCTGCCGAATATTGCTTTTCTTGAGCCAAAGATCTACCAGAGACAACTTTTCTACCTCCACAAGGTAGGGGTAAGGTCTACGTACACATTACCTTCCTCAGACCCCACACTGTGGGAATATATTGATATTGCTGTTGGAAACCTTAGTAGTGTAGAAATTTGTAAAGAGAAGGAAGATGTATTCCTTCGCCGTACTCCATAAATAGTACATTATTAAACAACCGACCGAAGTTTAATTAGAAGAATAGTAAGTGACCTGAATGATGACATCAATGACGACTCCATTGGCACAGAGGTTTGATGGTGATCAGGAGGAAGCAATGACCAAAAAACTGTTAAAAAATTTTTTGAAAAAAAAGCATCAGCAATGATAACATTGAATATGAAGGTCTAAATGCTTAAAGAACAGAACCCAAAGATGTCCCGCAGGGGTTATTATATGCAGCAAGGACAAGTCCCATAAATTTCTACAATGGTCAACACAATAAGGTATTAAAGATATCAAGAGATGTACACAACCTACCTGATTGCTGTGAGTGACCCTGAAAATCAGAACAAAACAACATATCCTGCCATTTGT